TATTTATGAGGATTTTTTGTTTAGTTTTGATAAATCTAACATGATACAGTGGCATGATACAGTATATGTAATAAAGATTTATTACATATTGCACATATGTACTGAAGATGTGGCTGTTGAACATTTCCCTTTCAAGAGAATGAGGGATTTAGGATGTTTGAAAATGGACTGACAGTATTTGAGAACCAAGAGTCAAACTTCTCAAGATTTGTCACTCCTTCAGGGTCCAAGGCCAAAATCTGAAGTGGTGCTCCAGTGTCCAAGAAATTTAAAAAAAAAAAAAAAAATATTTTTTCTTACAGAATTAAAGAGCATATTTTTGTGAAGGTAATAAGACAAAAAACAAAATTCTGATCAGTACTTACCGAGATATAGTGCCAAGAAGTTTGTCCAAAATGATGTGGTGGCGGCAACATCGACGAATTCCACATACACGCATTACATTATTTAGCGTTTTTTTAAGTTTTTTCTTTTCCAATTTTTTTCTATTCCTACTAACATTTGGGGCCTGAGAGACCAATACTGTATATAATGTATATATATAAACTCACTGTATTGAACACAATAACCGCACAAAAGTTATTATCATATTATTGTTTACCACTGTTGTTTATTACAATAACATGCACAAATCTTGTATAATACTAATGTTCTATCATATATTTACATATTTACAATCACTGGACATGGTTTTTAGAACTGCTGGAGCTTGTGGAACTCCTTGAAACCAGGCACCATGCACAGAGGCACCTTACATTCCTCACCATAAACCGAGTGTCTTTGCGTCTTTGTTGCCGTCGTTTGTTTGTGCACAGACGATGCATCTCTTCTGAGCAAATTTCTTCTGAGTTGAAGGAAGCTGTTTTATAAAATGATCACCGTCCCTCCTAAAACGCTTGGGTATATCCTGAGTAATTCGAGGACCTTGTTGTATAGCGGGTTTGTTCTTACCTGGTACTTCATTATGAGTTGTCTGACAACAGACAAACAAAATTCACCATAGGGTGGTCTTTTGGCAGTCTTTATTTGGTACATATTATATGCATTGAGCATAGAAATGTCCATGAGATGGAAGAAAAGTTTCATGTACCACTTGTAACTTTTACAACACAGTCAACAAAACCAATCTGCATGTCACATTTGTCAACCAAGCACATGTTTTGTTTTAATCAATCACTGTCACGGGTTTTTCGATACGTTCATTAGTAAACCCGATCAACTTTGCACTGTCTTGCATTTCTTTACGGTGAATGGTGTCAACAATGTGGACATCTCGTTTGTCATGCCACCGTAATCCCATGATGTCATTGGCAGTAAACCCCTGAAACGTCATCACCACAAGCACCTGTGTTGAGCCTGGGCATATGTTTACGATTAGAACGCACTGTGCCACACACATCTGTCTTGTTCACTCACATGAAATAAACTGAGTAATGGGCTTGTGAAACAGTTTCGGTATATAATGTAGGGCCCTTACCAAGATAAGGTGCCATCTGTTTCTCACTACGTCACCTTAGATCCCCCAAATTAACATCTTGGTATTTTTTCAATGTTTTACTTCCCGTGTATACAACATATCCAACACCAGGCCACTGTCACAGTCACAGAGTACAACAGTTTTATCCCAAAAGCGTTTCCTTTTGCTCGGTATATACTGCTTGAATGACAGTTACCTTTGAAAAAAAATCAAAGATCGTCAATTACAAGATTCTTGAATGGATAAAAGTATATGCTGAATTTTGTTTGGATTACATGAAACATTTCTAATTCTTGTATAACCTGTCACTTCTGTCAGGCCTGGTTTTGTCAGAGAAATGCAACATACGTAAAAGTAAGATAAACCTGTTCACTGGTATGATTTCACTGAAGACCGGGGTAGAAATTAGCGATCTGTGGACCATTTTGCTTTTAATTATGCTTATAGACATGAGGCATAAGCATTAAATTTTTGCAAAAAGCCAAATACATTTTTGCAACAGTCATCTCTTTTTTACCTGTATAGTCTTGACTGTGGTGATATGATTGTATTTGCCATGTGTACTCAAAATACTTATTACTTTCCCTGACAATAGTTTCCCTCAATGGCTGGTCAAAGAATAATTCAAAGAATTCCAGTTCATTGGCCGTGGTTTTCCCAAAGGGGGCAAGTAGGGGGAATTCCACTTTGGAGTCATCAAGGTGAGGCTTGGGAACAAAATTGGGGTTTTGCTGCCAATCCCACCCTACGGTTTGCTGGTGGATACTGGACATCATAGGCTGGTTGTGCGGGTGGTTGTGGTTGTGGGGGGGGGGGGGGGGTGGCTGACGCTCCGCTTCGTCCTTGAACTTACGAGTCAGCAGCGTGGGTCACAGCGTGGGCTTGTGAGTCACGCATGGCGGTGCCACTACCACCACCACTACCACCATCCACTGATGCCTGTTGTCTATCCATGCCAAGTGTAGCCACATCATCCTCACTATCACTACCTAAAACTGGTGTAGGGCCACGGGATGTACTCCGGGATGTATTCCAGGATGTACTCCGGGATGTACTCCGTCCCCTGGGCACAGCATAGGGTACACTACCCGAGCGCATGTGGTGGCGAACATACCGATGCTTCACTGGTGAATATGATTCCTCACTATCACTACTCGAATGATCGTCGAGCGCAATAAAATCACAATCCACGTCACTATCATCATCATTACTGAAGTCAGAGGCCTGGCCATGCGAAAATATTAGCTTTCTCTTGCGTTGAGGAACAACCGACCGTGAGTCACGAGTGCCCACACCAGAGGTAGAAGGTTGAGGATCGTCAGGGTGCTCTGCACTGTTGTCGATATCCTGGTCATTCTTTTCGGTCAGAGCCGTAGAATTCGTCTTCATTTCCACTTCCATCAGTGTCAGAACTATCTGATAGGAAGAGGAGAGTCCCAATTTTCCGGGGAGTGAGAGCTGACTTGCGACGAGGCATGGTGAACAAGGGTAACTGAGCCGGCGTTCCCACAATGCTATGCGGGCGCCTAGATTTTTTGTTTATGGCGCACACCCACCACGCAGACCCGTTCTCTCACATGTAGGCCTATGAGCGCTTTTGCGCTAAATTTGACGGCGCTAGAATTTTGGCGTAGATCTATGGTTTGGACACTCAACGTGAAGCCGTAGATCTACGGTACGGACCCTGAAAGGGTTAATGCCCTTGCTTGTTACTAAGAAATTTATTCTGTGATAAAGCAGACAAGTGTCAAGCCTGCTAAAGAAAAGTATCTGAAGAAAACTGAACAAAGCAAGAATTTATCAACATCCAAAGCTGCTGAACCTGCTCAGAAATCCTCAGTGCCAGATTTTCCTCAATATATCCCATCCTCATCTTTTAGTTAATGTATGGTGCTTTACAGAAGTAAGAAACATTGCTTCCACTGAGCAACCACTGGTGCTCAGGTGCTGGGTATCAGCAGTGGCGGCTCGTCCATAGGAACTGCGGAGCTGCAGTCCCCCAGATGCTCACTGCCTGACGTATGACTTCATCAACCTTACACTAAAATAATTTGCAACTGACAAATATATTACAGGAAAAAATCTGTTGTATGTTGTTTTCAGTGAATAGCTAATTTTTAATTTTTTGTTGCAACGAGATAAAATATGATTAAAAATAGAAGTTTGATGCGGCACAATAGTATAGGTATTACTGGCCCTATGAGCTGCTACTGAGTATCAGTGATTCAGCAACTGCTAGTATATTTGTTGTTTTGTACATGTGAGGAAGCAACTGCTGGTATATCAGAGCTAGGTTTCCACACATTATAGAATGAAATACATGTATCACTTGGTGTCCTAGCACTGTTTTATGAACAAGTACATAGATTACTTACTGCCTGCAAAAAGCCAATAAATCATTTAAATTACTGGGAATGCCTCAAGATACTGTACTTTGAATGTTCTCTGATATGAAGAAGAGCGATATCTTAAACTGTTATATTCATGGAAGATACTTGAGGGCATTCTACATCTACATACTACTACCACAACAATGTACTGGAGTGAGAGATATGGGAGGAAGTGTAAAATTAATCCAGTGGGAAGTCATGGGCACAATAAAAGAATACTGTACTGTGTTAACATCCATGGTCCACAACTATTCAACCTGCTACCAGCAGATACAGGAGGGACCTGCTTTACAGTACTTTGCTTTACAGCATTTCACTAATACAGCAATTTTCAATTATACCCCATTCTTCATTTATTCAGATTTCTTACAATATATTCACCATTCACTATAAGCTCAGGATGAAAATGTTTTAAGATAAGTAATGCGTGTACTGTATATGCATTTTTTAGGCCTAGCTCTATTGCTCACTTAATATATGATAGTGTAAACATGTTATCAGGCTTTTATCTTCTTTCAATAAACCGGCTGTATCCCACCGAGGCAGGATGGCCCAAAAAGAAAAAACGAAAGTATCAGGCATTTATATGCATTTGAAAGTGAAAAAAGGCCATGTTTCACTTTATAGTGATTTTTGCTTTACAATGGTAGCCCAAAACCTAACCAGCTGTATAAGTGGGACCCTCTTGTATTTGAAACATTGCTGGAAGAAGTATAGAACTTTTGAAGAGCAAACTGGATCACTACCTCCACCAAGTTTCAGATCAACCAGACTGTTACAGATATGTGGGCCACTAAGCCATCAACAGTAACAATCTGATTGAACAGGCAGTCAACAGAAAAGCCTAACCAGTTGTGAGAATAGAAACTCTTACAACTGGTCACAAGTATAACACAAGAACATAAGTTGTAAAGCTAGTAGTTTCACCAGAGTGCACTAATTATAAAGTTTTGATTCCCTAAATGGAGGTTTCTTGATGCCAGTGAGAGGCTCTGGATCTAAGGATTTGAACCTGATCTCCCCGGGCATTGTGACCCCCTACAGGTTTAGTGCTATCCATTCCCCATTTCATGTACTGTAATATTAAGCACATCTGACTTGCAGGTGCTTACCATGGACAAATTTTCTTCCAGAATCGTGAAGTAGAGGAACTTATAAATCGGTGCCGTCAGTTAGAGCAACAAATGTTGCAGCATACCGCATCCAAGACCCATGGAACCCCTATGAAACGGTACCGTTCTGAAATAATTTCTCCTAAAGCTTCTCCGGGCACAGCACATTCAAGCTTTGCTTCAAGGTGAGGAATGAAAAATATAATGTGCATAGTACTGTACTGTCACCTTACAATATTTTTTTTTTTTTTTTTTTAGTTTCATTATGGTATTAACCATTACCTTGTAATATAAGTCTTCATTTGATTTCTTTAAGGTACTGTTTAGCTTCATATCTCTTCCCATTCTATAGTATTTGTATATTGACATAAAAGGCAGCTGGCAAATGAGAAAAAAATTACTCTGCCTGAAATGTTTTTTTTAAGCTGATACAGATGCTCAAATTTTTCTCCATGAGCCAAAATACAATGCTTTAGAAAATTTGTTCACTTCTAATGGCCGGTATTCATGCTGATGAGATTTGCAGTATGTATAATACATGAGTGATGCAGAGTAGCATCATGCATTGTGTGGAAATGCTGTAATACTCTCGCGTACTTAGAGAACAGATTCTCTGCTGATTCAACTCTTCCATGTCAAGTAACAAATCAAATAAATCTTGAAGAGCTAATCTCCCTCCTTGCAACCATATCCACTGTTCATCTGTTACTGATTTCTGTTGATAACGTTGTTGGCCATCAAGAACCATGGATGTTGCTATAAATTTCTGTAGCATTTTGGGTACAATTTGGATGGATGGTTTTGAAGTCTCTGGCTGATGACAGTGGAACTTTTCTGCTGCCTATATGGTTGTGACTTGATTTTACTAGTTGTTCCAAATATGAGTATGGTTGGTATGCATTTTGTTAAGAAAGATATATTTTTTTTTTATTATTTTTTATTATCACACTGGCCGATTCCCACCAAGGCAGGGTGGCCCGAAAAAGAAAAATTTTCACCATCATTCACTCCATCACTGTCTTGCCAGAAGGGTGCTTTACACTACAGTTTTTAAACTGCAACATTAACACCCCTCCTTCAGAGTGCAGGCACTGTACTTCCCATCTCCAGGACTCAAGTCCGGCCTGCCGGTTTCCCTGAACCCCTTCATAAATGTTACTTTGCTCACACTCCAACAGCACGTCAAGTATTAAAAACCATTTGTCTCCATTCACTCCTATCAAACACACTCACGCATGCCTGCTGGAAGTCCAAGCCCCTTGCACACAAAACCTCCTTTACCCCCTCTCTCCAACCTTTCCTAGGCCAACCCCTACCCCGCCTTCCTTCCACTACAGACTGATACACTCTTGAAGTCATTCTGTTTCGCTCCATTCTCTCTACATGTCCGAACCACCTCAACAACCCTTCCTCAGCCCTCTGGACAACAGTTTTGGTAATCCCACACCTCTTCCTAACTTCCAAACTACGAATTCTCTGCATTATATTCACACCACACATTGCCCTCAGACATGACATCTCCACTGCCTCCAGCCTTCTCCTCGCTGCAACATTCATCACCCATGCTTCACACCCATATAAGAGCGTTGGTAAAACTATACTCTCATACATTCCCCTCTTTGCCTCCAAGGACAAAGTTCTTTGTCTCCACAGACTCCTAAGTGCACCACTCTTTTCCCCTCATCAATTCTATGATTCACCTCATCTTTCATAGACCCATCCACTGACACGTCCACTCCCAAATATCTGAATACATTCACCTCCTCCATACTCTCTCCCTCCAATCTGATATTCAATCTTTCATCACCTAATCTTTTTGTTATCCTCATAACCTTACTCTTTCCTGTATTCACTTTTAATTTTCTTCTTTTGCACACCTACCAAATTCATCCACCAATCTCTGCAACTTCTCTTCAGAATTTTCCCAAGAGCACAGTGTCATCAGCAAAGAGCAGCTGTGACAACTCCCACTTTGTGTGTGATTCTTTATCTTTTAACTCCACACCTCTTGCCAAGACCCTCGCATTTACTTCTCTTACAATCCCATCTATAAATATATTAAACAACCACGGTGACATCACACATCCTTGTCTAAGGCCTACTTTTACTGAAAAATTTCCTCTTTCCTACATACTCTAACTTTAGCCACACTATCCTCTGTAAAAAACTCTTCAATGCTTTCAGTAACCTACCACCTACACCATACACTTGCAACAATCTGCCCTCATTGCCACCCCTATCTCACCCTGTCATATGCCTTATTCCAAATCCATAAATGCCACAAATAACCTCTTTAGCCTATCTAAATTACTGTCTTTATATGTTTTCACTGTAAACACCTGGTCCACACATACGCCCCTCCCTTTCCTAAAGCCTCCTGGTTCATCTGCTATCCTATTCTCCGTCTTACTTTTAATTTTTCATAATAACTCTAACCATACACTTTACCAGGTATACTCAGCAGACTTATCACACCCTATAATTATTGCAGCTCTTTTATCCCCTATTGCCTTTATAACAAAGGAACTATGGCATGCTCATCTGCAATCCCTAGGGTACCTTACGCCTCTTCCATACATTTGATTAAATTAATTGCACCAACCACTCCAAAACTATATCCCTACCTGCTTTTAACATTTCTATCTTTATCCCATCAATCCGGCTGCCTTACCCCCCTTTCATTTTACCTACTGCCTCACGAAACTTCCCACCACCACTCACTACTGGCTCTTCCTCACTCCTTCAAGATGTTTATTCCTCCTTGTCCCTATACAACATAATCACACAGCTCCCTTTCTCATCATCAACATTTAACAATTCCCTCAAAATATTCCCTCCATCTTTCTTCGCCAATAACCTTTTTTTTAAATACCTTTTCCCACAATTTTCTCCATTTTTAAATAACTCTCCTCTCCTATTTTTAACTGACATATCCATTTGTTCTCTAGGCTTTCTTGATCGTGGGGGAATCTCACTCCAAAACTTTTTTCTTATTTTCAACAAAATTTGTTGATAACATCTCACCCACTCTCTCATTTGCTCTTCTCTTTTACATTTGCTTCAAATTCACCACTCACTTAACCTCTCTCTTTTGTCTCCATATACTCTTCCTCCTTGCATCACTTTCTACATTGTAAAACTTCTCAGATTCAACTTTTTCTCCCCTTACAACTCTCTTACATCACATTCCACCAGTCGCTCCTCTTCCCTCCCGCACCCACTTTCTGTAAAACCACAAACTTCTGCTGTAAAGCACTCTAACACTACATTTTTAAACCATACCCCATAACCTCTTCGACTGACCCCATTGCCAATGCTCTCATTAAGCCCATCTATCCTTCCAATATCTGTTTATATCTACCCAAACTTCCTCCACTTTTTTAGTTTATAAACCTTTCACCTCTCTCTTCCCTGATAACTTCTATTCTCTCTTGTATCCCATCTACCATTGACTCTCAGTGTAGTCTACAACGAGAAAGAAGTGATTCTGAATATCTGTGGCCCCTCTATAAACAATTACATTCCTGAAGTATACTCACATCCTTTTATCTACAATACATAATCCAAGGGTGGTCAACAACTACTGTCATTTCTCCCTACTTCATATCTTGTATACTTATTTATCCTCTTATTTCTAAAATATTATTTTTTATTTATTATCACACCGCCGATTCCAACCAAGGCAGGGTGGCCCCGAAAAAGAAAAACTTTCAACACCATCATTCACATCATCACTGTCTTGCCAAAGGGTGCTTAAACCTACAGTTTTATAAACTGCAAACATTAACCCACTCTTCAGAGTGCATGCACTGTACATCCATCTTCAGGACTGCAAGTCCCTGGCCTGCCGTTTCCCTGAATCCGGCTCATAAATGTTACTTTTGCTCACACTCCAACAGCACGTCAGTATTAAAAAACTATTTGTCTCCATTCACTCCTATCAAACACTCTCACAGCATGCCTGCTGAAGTCCAAGGCCCCTCGCCACAAAACCGCCTTTACCCCCTCCCTCCCAACCTTCCTAGGCCGACCCCTACTCCGCCTTCCTTCCACTACAGACTGATACAACTCTTTGAAGTCATTCGTTTCGCTCCATTTCACTCAACATGGTCCGAACCACCTCTACAACCATTCCTCAGCCCTCTGGACAACAGTTTGGTAATCCCGCACCTCCTCCTAACTTCCAAACTACGATTTCTCTGCATTTTAGTCATCACCCACACAATCCACAGACATGACATCTCCACTGGCCTCCGAGCTTCCTCCTCGCGGCAGCACATTCATCCCCACGCTTCACACCATAAAGAGCGTTGGTAAAACTATAACTCTCATACATTCCCCTCATTGCCTCCCAAGGACAAAGTTCTTTGTCTCCACAGACACCAAAGTGCACCACTCACTCTTTTTCCCTCATCAATTCTAATGATTCACCTCTTCTTTCATAGACCCATCACGCTGACACGTCCACGGTCCCGAATATCTGAATACGTTCACACTCCTCCATACTCTCTCCATCCAATCTGATATTCAATCTTCATCACCTAATCTTTTTGTTATCCTCATAACCTTACTCTTTCCTGTATTCACCTTAATTTCTTCTTTTGCACACCATAACCAAATCATCCACCAATCTCTGCAACTTCTCTTCAGAATCTCCAAAGCACAGTGTCATCACAAAGAGCAGCTGTGACAACACCCACTTGTGTGTGTGAATCTTTACTTTAAACACCACGCCTCTGCCCAACCCTCCTCGCATTTACTTCCTCTTAACAACCCATCTATAAATATATTAAACAACCACGTGACCACACACATCCTGTCTAAGGCCTATTTTTACTTGGAAAAAAATTTCCCTCTTTCCTACATACTCTAACTTGAGCCTCACTATCCTCGTAAAAAACTCTTCACATGCTTTCAGTAACCTACCTCCTACACCATAACACTTGCCAACATATTGTATTACCTATAACTAAACCCCTTTCTATACAAAGTTTCAATCAAAGGGCTCCCATTATCATTTAACACCTGCCACCCCCAAACTTACGCTACCACATCACCCTCTCTAAAAGTTTCTCTCTACTTTAGCATCATATCCCCTACCACAATTACTCTCAATTGTTCAAAGGTCCTATACATTCACTTAACATCACCAAAATCTCTCTCTCCTCCTCTGTCATTCCACTCT